AATAATATGACGTAAAGAATACAGAGAATAATTTTGTTAACATATTTATGAAAATAAAATAACAAATTTATGTTATTCTCAGAAAAGTAAATTTACTTTTCTGAGAATGTTTAGGCCAGCAGAGAAGGCCTTGCTGGCCCTCAGGGTCCGCCACTGTGTCTTGTCCAGGGAAACCAAGACAAGTATTATAAAAAATGATGAGATTTATTTGAGAAAAGAAAAAAAACATGGAGAGACACCATTCATAGATCCGTCAAGGGAGACTTCTCCCCCCTGCGTGGTGCGCTCTTTTTATCTCGTTTTCTTCTCTTTGGGGGCGATTAAGGTCAGCACAGTCAGTATTTTGAGCAGCTACACAGAATGCAAGCGAGTGCATGAGCAGGCAACTTTGCTTATCTGCAAAATAACTGGTCAACATTCAATGGTACGAACAGTTACTTACATTTTAGCACTGTCATGTGTCAAATTCCCATTACACAAGGCCCGTAGATTAGTGTGTTCTATTGCGATATAAACATGCAGCCAAAACTGAATAATAAAAAAATGGCGTTGTCCATTTGGTATATGTCCATTCTTTAACAATCAGCATTAGAAAATAGCTACATTTCATCAGATTTCCAGTTTCTGATGAAAAAAACGGAGAGAAAAAAAGATTTTTGTGAAAGCGTGCATGACAAGCCTAATTTCACGTATACTCCACATTTTTTACTCAAACATCTAAATAAGACTACTTCTACAAAACAACATCAACAGCATCACAAAAGGGCTTTTGATAGCAAAAATATTTTCTGCACTCTTGAACTGATGAAATCAACGATGAACAGAAGTGAAACAATGAGTTCAGTGAGTGTGTGCGTGTGTATGTTTGTATGTGTAAGTGCACTGTTTGTGTATGTGTGCATGTGCATATGCGTGCACGTGTGTTTCCCTCTCCACCCTACAATTTTTGCAGTTATTTTATTTTTTTTGGAGGGGGGGGGATACAAAATGGAGCAATTGCCTTAATGCAAAGGCACACAATATGTCTTACACCACAATCTGTTTTCACTTTGCTTGCCTTTGCGAAAGCGGACCTTTCGCTGCACTATCCGTGTGCCATGGGGGCCCCGTGCAGCACACGATGTTCGCAGACCCGGAGGCTCTTTTGATGGTTGCTGCTTCCTCTTGCACAGACGAGGCATCCTGCTTTCAGCAGCTCCATCTCCCTTGTCAGATTTTCTTCCCCAAAAGCTATCCTCAAGGGTTAATTGTTTTGATTCCTCCATCGCAACTGGTTTGAATGCACTCTCTTCTAACTGCACGCTACTTCAAAACTCTTCCCATGCATCCCTCCCCCTCTACTTCTACTTCTTCTGCAGTATGACTCTGGTACATTGTAAATGATTTACAATGCAGACAAGCCTGATCCTGTTTCACCAATATGGGAATGAAAGTGCATTAAAATGTATAAATCTATGAAATTTATCTTGCCTGGTCGGGAGATAAGCACACCTTAAGCTCATATCCTAGACCAATGGTTCTTAACCTGGGTTCGATCGAACCCCAAGGGTTCGGTGGGTCGGTCTCAGGGGTTCAACGGAGCCTCTGCCATGGAGGGTGAGATACACGCGACTCAACATGTTAATTAGTTATGACACGTCCGCTTGGCCATCACTGGCTGCAGATGATCACGACATTGCTTGTCCAATCAGTGCTGTGGGAAATTTAATTCGCTTAGTACAGTAGTCAACGTGTGACTGTTGTGATAGTACGTCGTACAATTTAAAAAAAAAAAAAGTATACTTATCTCTTGAAATGTTATTTACTTTCATCTGTTTTTAATAAATGCGGGGTTTTTTAATATCTTGAATTTGTGAAAAAAATATATATTTATTTTTCACTCACGAAGGGTTCGGAGAATGTGCATATTAACTGGTTGGGTTCGGTACCTCTGAAAAGGTTAAGAACCACTGTCCTAGACCCTCTCGGTTATATTACTTTCGCTAAATCTTTTGATATTTCACACAAAATAGAAAGCCAGAAACTGGCAGCCAGTCCAAACTTGAGCTTCCCCATGACCACACTGATGGAAAACAGTATAGAAAATAAACGGATGGGGTCTTGGTTATTGAATGACGACCTTTACGTGGTCCCCTTGTAGCCTAGTTTAACTGACACAGACTCCAGCTCAACCGTGACCCTGACGAGGACATGCAGTAGCAAATCTTTTGATGGAGTCTTGGTTATTGACTGGCGACCAGTCGAGGCTCTGAAGATGGTTGTCCAAGTGTTCTTGAGGAAGAAACTGAGGCCCTCTCTCTCTTATGTTGCCCTTTAACTATGTATTCTTGCTCTCCAGACCAGTGCAAAAGCAGCTACCAGGTGGGCTTCGACAACTCACTTCGGGTCACGTACGCCAATGGGATGGACACACACTACCAGACTGAGCCTCACATTCTGGCAGGAGCCGCCAACCCGACAGTGGCCCGGCGCAACATGAGCTTGCCGGGCGAGAGCGGGCAGAACCTGGTGGAGTGGCGTTTCCGCAAAGAGCAAGCCCGAGGGAAGGTCATCGTGTTCGGACGCAAGCTGAGGGTATGTTTGCTCCTACCCCGAGGCGTGCGACTTGAGTGGAGGAAAACCTTAAATTTTAGGACTTTAAGCAATAATTTGGTTGTTGGGTTTTTCTTTTTTTTTATTATTCATTGAATCACATTGTTAAAATGCCATTGCTTTATTCAAAAACAGGATATTAATGTAATAACTGTTAGTGCTGAAAATGCACAAACAATTTCTGATTCAGTAACTGGTTCGGTCTGGAAAATGCCAGAAAATAGACCAAAATCTAGATCTGCGCTTTCCTATGTAAAAGCAGTTGTTTGCAAATGATTTTTTTTAGATGAAATACAAAGATCATCTGTATGCTTGCTTGGAGAACAGCCGAAATTGGAGAATATTTACTGTTGAGACGTCTTTGAGTTGCAGGTGATTATTTTTTTCCGGTCAGCAATGGAAGGCATTGATCAGCATATGTCGATTACATTCTTTTTCATGAAAATCGACCATCTAACTTCATTCATCACGATAAACCACTTCAACATATTTATTCACACAGAACAAACAGTTCAATTGTGTTGTTCACAGTTTAATTTCAGTCATTACAAAAACTATAAAACAAACCTACAAACAATACTTCAATGCATTAAAATAATCCACACGGGCAGGAAACGTACATTAAGATTAGTTTCGCGAACCGATAGTTGGTCAACCACCAACTAAACTTCATGTCAGTTCAGCATTTCCATTGAGAAGACAATAAAGTAATAGACAATACGGATACTGGTGCTTGAGTATTAAAAATTAGATGATTGGGAATTGGTTACAACAATTACTATAACGAAGAGCTTTGGAAAATTACTGACAGTGAACTTGATTTTAAATGCTGAAAAGACCTTCAAGATAAGGGGAAGCATAGATTTGAACTTGGATTTAAAACTGACAGTTGGGCTGACTTCACTTCTTTTGCTATCTTATTCCACTTGCGTGCAGCATAACAGCTACATGCCGCTTCACCGTGTTTACTTTCAAACCTGTGCTCCACTAAGACCTCAGAGCCCTACTGGGTTTACTCAAGTAAAAATAAAAACTATTTTGTAAAGCTACTCTGTCAAGTACAATGTTTCTCAACAGTTGCTTGAGTAAATGTAAGACTAAATTTGGCTCAATTCTAGTCACCATGGCTTATGACTTGCACATATTATGTGGCTTACTCCCAATTCTGGGTCCTTATACATATACGTACATCAAATATATGTCCAGATCCACCCCTTTTTACTGTCTAACAGGTGAATGGACGCAACATCCTCTCCGTTGATTACGACCGCACCCTGAGGATGGAGAAGATTTACGACGACCACAGGAAGTTTCTACTGAAGATCATATATGACACAGCTGGGCACCCTGTGCTGTGGGTGCCCAGCAGTAAGCTGCTGCCGGTCAACGTGAGTCGTACCAGCAGCGGTCAGATTAGCACTCTGCAAAGAGGTCCTACAACAGAGAAGCTAGGCTACGACACCCAGGGCCGCTTGGTGTCTCGGGTGTTTGCTGACGGGAAGATATGGAGCTACACTTACCTCGAGCGGGTAAGTGAGAGAAGCTTATTATCACTGATGGACAAATAAATCGTAAAAGTAAAAAAAAAAATAAAAAATAAAAGACCACACAAGCTCTGACCATGTGGAGCTGAAGGATTAAAGTTTTTCCTGTGTCATGACGAGCCGTCAGATTTGGCTGCCATCCTCCATTCCACCAACAAGCGATGACAAAAACAAAAATGTTTTCACACACATGTAGGTGGTTGATTTGGTATCAATCAGACAAATGTGAAAATGGATGCGTCCTTCACGCCAAAATGGCAGACTTCATGTGTGTTTTCGAGCATGGCTTCTTGAGATTTTTTTTCATGGGTATGATGTTAGATCTGACTACTAAATTTCATGTTGTGATGTGAAACAAGCTTAAGTGGCTGATTTTTCAGAACATTCGAAACACCTGCAATGAGCACATTGGCCCAAAACAGGTGATTTCAAACCAAAATGGAAGAGTTCCTGTTCAGGCATAGCTTCTTGTGACTTTTCAATGGGACTGTAATAGTAAACATGCTCGCCGACTTTCATTTTACTTTGTGAACCATAAGGCCTCTAAAAAGGGACACAGGACATGATGCAGGTATACAAAGCTTGCAATGAAGTCATGACTGACAGCGTGTCATAAAGCAAGGTTATCTCTAACACACACCTCACTAATTGCACCGCCCCAATCCAAATCATTATTTTTACATAATCCTTCAAGCCCGATCGCATCTGCATAAACATTTGAACATCTGTAAGTATGCTTGCATAATCATTTTACCCAGAGGAGACAGCTGTTTTTTCTGCAGGGTCAACTAAGGCGGCCAAATGAAAACACATCCTGAGTTGTGCTTTACGTGGATACAGCTACAGGGGGACAGTCGCACTGGGCATCTTTTATTTATGAGCTGCAAAGTCACAGCCGAATTTGTTTTAAGCCTCTTAATAAATTCGACAAAATGGTAACACGTCTAATGCTTGACACATTGGCTGTCTAAAAAATTGTTTAAAAGATTTACATTGAATTTTAAGTCATTCCTGCAAATGAGTTTCTTTTAAGCTCACAATAAATCAAATAAATGTAGAAAAGGTTGATGGCTGGCAGTGGCACATGGGCCATCTGCCTGTAAATTAATGTTTGATGCATAGGCCGTCTTAAAAAATAAACTGATGAAATGTATCCAGTCCGAATATGTGAATTTGTTTTATTTCATCCCCGCTGACTACATAAGTGATAAGCGCACCCAATGTTCCCTTCGCACATGTGTAATTCGAGTGTGCAAAACAAAAATGTCACCTGTGACCCTTGCATGACTCGGGAGGGGTAAAAGTTCCAATGACACCAGAAGTTCGCTTCCTCTTTTCTTCTTGTGTGCCTTTTGCTGGGTACGATTGAAAGAAAAAAGAATTGTGCATCCATCGTCATTGCTCTGTCGCAAGTAGCCATGTGACTGTATTGGTTGGAGCAGCAAAGCTTTTGCTGAAGAAAAAAAAAAAGCGTGATGAAATGAATGCACGCCTCGCAACCCTAGTGACAATAAGCAGATGAGAAAATGGATGGAAGGATTAATACATGTGTAAAGTATACTGTGTTTTGATTTTAAACTATTCGCATCCAAATCAGACAGAACGCAAGCGCTGACAGGACACACTGAGGAATTGCTTTGATTTCCTTGATCCATATATATATATATATGGGTTAAAAAAGATATGTTATAAAATTCGTCAGCAAAGAGAACAAAAGCTCATTTTATGGCTCACTCCAAGCCAGCCATTTAAAGATTATTTATTTGTTTTTGTTCCGGGCTGGCGGAGGGATTTGGCTTTGATTGCATGTCCATGAGAGGCCTGTGTGCACGCTTTTTAACATGAGCAATGGTGAGCGCTCGGGGAGCTAGGGGAATGCCGACGTGTTCGCGGATGACTGGGTATGACATTTCAACACAGGAGGGCAAATAAACCTTGGCGAGACAGCCGGTGGTCTGGCCCTATGTTTTGTGTCAATCAATTCTCAAGATCCATCGTCTGATCACATGTCCTACCGGAGACAAATTCCTTGTGCGTTTTACATACTTGGCCAATAAAGATGATTCTGATTCTGATTCTTGTCATTTAGACAGTCGCAGCAACTGTGCTAGGACAGGGAACAACATCTTCGCACGCACATGTCTAGTATTTATTTATTTACTTACTTACAGTGAGCAATTGCACAAAATCTCAGAGGGCAAGTTGTTCTTTAAAAGACGAAGGAAAATAAACTTTTGTTTATTTTCTTTCGTCTGATTGAATCAGCCTCATTCTAACCCAAATGGAGAACTCCATGTGTCTTTCCCAGGATGACCTCTTGAGACTTTCAGGTCCATTCATGCAACTAAATGTCTCCTTAAATGGTGACTTCAGACCCAATTGGTGAACGTCTGGCCTTTTCGGGAATCTTTTCTGAAGACTTTTTTTGTGCGTCTGTTAATGACGTGTCAGCAAAATGAAACTGGCTTTGGGGGCTTCTGGTAACAGATGGATAAACTCACAATGATGTGTTCTTCCCCGTGAAATGTCTAAAATGAGCCTGAGATGGCAGCTTCGGATCAAACAGCAAACTTGCTACTTCTTGTATTCTCTGCATCATGACAATTGTGTGTGTGTGTGTGTGTGTGTGTGTGTGTGTGTGTGTGTGTGTGTGTGTGTGTGTGTGTGTGTGCGAGCTCGTGTGTAGTTTACGTTGTTTTACCCTTTTGTAAACCACTCTAGGGATGGTTAGATTTTTCTATTCACCCTTGACAGTTTTGTATTTGTGAAAAACGGGCGCCCTGCCAACGGCTCTCCCACATGAATGATAGTTGGCACAATCAAGTGTTCTTTCATTCCTCAAGCTTAAGAACCCTTCTCAGCCCGCCTGCCTGCCTGCACTGGTCCTGTTCATACATCATGAAGTCCAAGTCGTGTAATTCTCTTGAATCTGTCATTTGTTGTGTTCAATTGGCAACCAAAAATCAATCATGAAGCCACTTCCAGGAGTTCTTTCAAAATTGACTTGACCAAGAGAGTGTGTCGGAGTGCAACCAAAAAAGCAAATAAAAAAAAAAAGTGGCACTATCGTTAAAAGGACCCACAAAAACGTCTCAAAACTCATGTCTGAAAATACAAAGGAAGTCTACCATTGTTGTTTGAAGCGGCCATTTTGGGGATATTTTGAACATTTCTGGGGGTCTTTCAAAGAAAAGTTTGAGAAATTTTGCCAGAGTGCTCTCCATATGTACTAAACATGAGGGCAACGCTACATTGCATAAAGGTGGAGCATGGCAGCAAAGTCTGACAACTTTCCATAAAACCCCAAACCATAAGCACAACATTTTGGAGGGGAAATTCTGCCCCTGAGGTCACCTTCAATTAGTGACATGTAAAATAATATCCATGTCTAAGAAATACAAAATATTGTCCATAGCTATGCGGCAAACATCCGCATACTCATGGTTTGGCACTGACCGATTTGCCTATTCATGCCTTTTTTTGTTGTTGTTGTTGTTTTTTTTTGGGGGGGGGGGTTGTCTCAAGTGTACCTCAATGGCATTTTTTAAAAGCCACTGATCAGTTCCGCCCCCCCAAGACATTTTTTTTTCGTTGTGCATTTTAAAATAAAAAGATAGTACTGTGTTGTATATTTACATTATAAAATGAACAAATTACAACTATTGGACCTTACATACCTGAAGGTCACTCATACCTCAAAAATTTGACCTGCAACACAAAATAAAGCAAAACCGAAAACAAATCTAGCAAACGCTGACTCAGAATGCGAAAAGCTTATGACAAAGTATCACAGTTAAAAAATGTGCCTTTTTTTTTTGGTTGTTCAATTAAAAGCAAATTACAAAGCAATCAGATTTTTTCTATTTTTTTATTTTTGATTGACAATCAAAAATTGAAAAAAAACCAAAAACAAATTCCACAAACTGACTTGCCCTCTCTGTATTGTTCTCCAGTCTATGGTCCTCCTACTCCACAGTCAGCGCCAGTACATCTTCGACTTCGACTCGCTGGACCGCCTCTCGGGCATCACCATGCCGAGTGTGGCCCGCTACACCATGCAAACGATGCGCTCGGTGGGCTACTACCGCAACCTCTACCACCCTCCAGAGAGCAACGCCTCTGTGGCTGTAGACTATAGCGAGGACGGCCTCCTGCTCAGGGTGTCCCATTTCGGCACCGGCCGTCGGGTACTCTACCGCTACCGGCGGCAAAACAAGCTGTCGGAGATCCTTTACGACAGCACACGTGTTAGCTTCACCTACGACGAGACTGCGGGCGTCCTGAAGACGGTCAACCTGCAGAGCGATGGCTTCATCTGCTCCATCCGTTACCGGCAGGTGGGACCTCTGGTGGACCGGCAAATCTTCCGCTTCAGTGAGGACGGCATGGTCAACGCCCGCTTCGACTACACCTATGACAACAGCCTACGCGTCACCAGTGTGCAGGGAGTCATCAACGAGACGCCTCTGCCCATCGACCTCTACCAGTTTGATGACATATCTGGCAAGGTGGAGCAGTTTGGCAAGTTTGGCGTCATTTACTACGACATCAACCAGATCATCTCCACGGCGGTGATGACATACACCAAGCACTTTGACGCACACGGTCGCATCAAGGAGATCCAGTACGAGATCTTCCGCTCACTCATGTACTGGATCACCTTCCAATACGACGACGTGGGGCGTGTCACCCGACGCGAGATCAAGATCGGACCCTTTGCTAACACCACCAAGTATGGCTACGAGTATGACGTAGATGGCCAGCTGCAGACCGTCTACCTGAATGAGAAAGTTACCTGGCGCTATACATACGACCTCAACGGGAACCTGCACCTGCTTAATGCCGGGAACAGCGCAAGACTCCTTCCTCTACGCTATGACTTGAGGGACCGCATCACCCGTCTCGGAGACATCCAGTACCGCATGGACGAAGACGGTTTCCTCCGCCAGAGAGGAGCGGAAATCTTTGAGTACAACTCCAAAGGCCTCCTGGTACGGGTGTACAGCAAAAGTAGCGGGTGGACCATCCAGTACCGCTACGACGGGCTCAGTCGAAGGGTGTCCGCTAAGACCAGCCTGGGCCAGCACTTGCAGTACTTCTACGCCGATTTGGGCTACCCGGCCCGGATTACCCACGTCTACAACCACTCCAGCTCGGAGATCACGTCGCTGTACTACGACCTGCAGGGCCACCTGTTCGCCATGGAGATCAGTAGCGGTGAGGAGTTTTACATCGCCTGTGACAACACCGGAACCCCTCTGGCCGTCTTCACCAGCAACGGTCTCCTAGTCAAGCAGCTGCAGTACACGGCGTACGGCGAAGTCTACTTCGACTCCAACCCGGATTTCCAGCTGGTGCTGGGCTTCCATGGGGGTCTGTACGACCCGCTCACCAAGCTGCTGCACTTCGGCGAGAGGGACTACGATATCATGTCCGGCAGGTGGACGGTGCCGGATGTTTCCAGCCTGAGGGATGTCGGCAAGGAGCCGGCACCTTTTAACCTTTACATGTTCCGGAATAACAACCCCATTAGCAAAGTCCACGAAGTGAGGGAATATGTGGCAGGTGAGAGGTTGGTGCACTCAAAGAAGCTGTTGGGAAATGATTATGGTGGTGAATAATGGTTACTCTGACTGCGCTCCTATTTTGCTGTCTGAAAAATGTCAGGAAATAATGACAAAATTGCTGCCTGTCAGAGCCTACTCAGTAGAGTAGTTTCAAAGGTAAGATTCTTCGGTCTTCATCATTGTTTTATTACTTTGTCTTTTGTTGCACAGACGTGAACAGTTGGCTGGTGACTTTTGGCTTTCACCTCCACAACACCATTCCCGGCTTTCCCGTGCCCAAGTTTGACCTGAGCATGCCATCGTATGAGCTGAAGAAGAGTCAGCTGTGGGACGATTTGCCGGTGGGTCCAGTTTACATTTGTTAATGGCAATTATTTACGTGGACATACAAAAAAGTAGAATGTCCTTGTATATTTGAAGAAAAAGGACTTGTAATATTATGACAATATTGTCAGATTTTTTTCCAGAGAAAAAGTAGCAGTTCTATGTATTATATATAATATAATCATGTTTATTTCAGGAGAAAAGTGTAAAAAAAAAAAAAAAAAGATCTTTTTTTGAAGTTGTATTTTGGGGAGAAAGTGTTATTTAAGTGTTTTTGTCAAGTTTTTCCAGAAAAGAGAAAAAATTGCATTTCTTCAAGAGAAAAAGGTCAAACATTAAAAAAAGTCATTTGTGGGGAAAACAAAAAGTGGCACTCTTACTGCAATAGTTCTGTATTTTCAAGAAAAAGAAGTTAAGAAGTTATTTATTTTTAAACCTTTGTGAGAAGACAACATTAAGATCCTTTTCTATCCTACCTTGGCTAAACGACTGCTTTAATTTCATAATCGAGTGAGTTTTATCTTGGAAAATAATGCATTTAAAAAAAAGTTTTTTTCTCATAAGATTGCAACTTTACGCTCTTAGTAAATTACTTTTAGTGCATTATTTTTGTTCGGAGTGGAGGCAGAGGCAATAAAACTTTTCAGAAGTGTGTTATGAAGCTGCTGCTACTATGCATTTCTAAGAGAATATTACTTTTAATTGGGTCTTATTTGAATAACAAAGCAAACAGTGTCGTTCCGACGGCCAAATACATTTTCTCACTGCTGACTGCCGCTGTAACATGCAGTGTGTTTGGGTTGCTGTCGAGTTGAGAGTATCTTTTTTTAATGTAAGGCTTCTCGGGTTGGAGGCCAGCAAGTGTCGTAGGGTGGGGTGGGGTGGGGAGGGGGGGTGGGGTGCATTTGGCTGCAGAGAGAAAAAGCCTCCAGTGCCAACCCGCTACCTGCTTCTTCCGAGAGAGCCATCTTTGTGCCATTTTGAGGTTTTACTGGTTTGCTGCACTCTTCAATCTCAGTCCTTTGTTCCACAGGAAAGTCATATTTTTTCAAGAAGCTTCTTTTTTTTCTTCAGGAAAAGAGAGAGCGAGAGAGTGAAAGGGAGAGAGAGAAAGAGAGAGAGAGAGAGAGAATAAAGTTGTATTTTTTTTCTTTGTGTTTGTATTGTTATATTTCGTTTGGGGGGGAAAAAATAGTCTGAAGAAAAATGTCTAATTTACATCACAAAAAAACATGAGTATTTCAAAGAAAATATAGTTTGTATTTTTTATACTTTTAAGATTTTTTTTTTTTTTTTGCTAGTCTTTTTGTTCCAAGAAAATCTTCTGCCAAAATAAATTTCCCTGAGAAAATTATTTTGGGAGGAAAAAAAGTCTTTTTTTTTTTTTCCTTTTTTAAGGCATGTCTCATAAACTTTTAACATATATATTTTTAAACATAAGATTACAAGATTAAAGAGAGAATTTTTTTTTAAAGAAAGAAGTGGTTTGATTAATTTTTCCAAACAATACACTTTCTTTAAATCGTACTTTAAAACAAAGTTTTTTTGTCATTTGGAAAAGTCCGAATTTTATGTGAATTAATTGCTTTCATTTTTTTTTAGCTTATATTTTTTAGAAAAAAAAAGTTTTTATTGAGAGAAAAACTGCATTTTTATGAGAGAAAAACAACGTGAATATTTTGCAGGAAATTTTAAGATTTCGTTTTTTAGGAAAACAACTGTTTTTGTTGAAAAAAAAATACATTTTTAGGAATGTAATTCAAGAAAATGTAAGACTCTTTAGAAGCCCAAAATAAATGTTTAAAATTATTTTTTAGTCTTATTGGTTATACATCTTCATTTATATAACACTTTCACAACAGCTGAATTTTTGTCCTTTGCCCATTCTTGTTTTTTTGAGAGAAAAAGCCCACCTTGATCATATTTCTTCAGAGGAAAAAAAAAGACAGTTCTCGATGTGTATTCCAAGAAAAAAAAAGTGAGGAGAATTGAATTGGATGAAAATCCCGATTACCGTTTTGCCTGGTATGTCCTTTGCAGTCCATCTCGGGAGTGCAGCGTGAAGTCACCCGCCAGGCTGAGTCCCTCCTGTCCTTTGAACGTCTGCCTGAAGTCCACCTGCGGCGAGGCCGTCGCGGCGAGAAACCTTGGCTGTGGTTCTCTGCGGCGGCGTCCCCAGTGGGCCGTGCCGTCATGTTTGCCATCTACAAAGGCAGCGTGCACGCGCACACCCTCAACATGGCAGGCGAGGACTGCATCAAGGTGGCGGGCATCCTTAACAACGCCTTCTACCTGGAGGAGCTCCACTTCACTGTGGAGGGCCGGGACACGCACCACTTTGTCAAGCCGGGCCTGCCCGACGCCGACCTGGCCGCCCTGCACCTGACCAGCGGCCACAAGACGCTGGAGAACGGCATCAACGTCAGCGTGTCACAGTCCACTACCGTCATGGACGGACGCACGCGCCGCTTCGCCGATGTCGAGGTGCGCGCCGGAGCCCTGGCGCTGCACGTGCGCTATGGCGCCACCGTGGATGAGGAAAAGGCCCGTGTGGCCGAGCTGGCCCGCCAACGCGCCTTGGCGGGCGCCTGGGCGCGGGAGCAGAGGCGGCTGCGTGACGGCGAGGAGGGCGGTCGGCCGTGGACGGAGGGCGAGAAGCGGCAGCTGCTGAGCGGCGGCAAAGTGCTCGGCTACGAAGGCTACTACGCCCTTTCCGCGGAGCAGTACCCCGAGTTGGCAGACAGCGCCAACAACATCCACTTCCTGAGGCAGAACGAGATCGGAAAGAGGTAACAGAACGTTAGGTGTGACTCTTCATGTTTTACACCACTCATAAAAAATTAGGGAAATTTCAGGATAACTACTACTACTACTACTCCATCGTCTCTAGTCAACCCCCATTTATCGGGTTATGTTCCAGACCAAACCATAAAACGGTGGTACCGTGATTTCGGAGTTGAATTTGCTGTGTCCAAGCTCCTAACTCACATTCTCAACTTTTATCAAATCCATTTTCTTTTAACATTAAAATGAATTGAAATGTCATTAACCTATTCCAACCCCCCAAAAATGGTTTTGTGTTTTTAATTTTTTTGAAAAATTGCACTGTATTCCACAAAGATTTGAACTGTCATATCGCGATTAATCACATGATTTGCAGTTAACTCATAATCAATCGCACATTTTGCATCTGTTGTAGGTGTACGATTAAAGGGAAATTTTAACGGTGCATACACATAGTTCGGCCCCCGCGGATTTGCATATTTCCTTTTTTTCAATATTTTCAAATTTAAAACATTGAATCCCCCCGCCCCTCAATGCATTTCTGTGGCCGGTGTTTGCGGTTTGGCCCAGTCCCTTTCACCCGTGAATAGCGACGGTCCCCTATACTCTTATTAACATATGAGTATACAAATATGCCTCCTTGATGTGAATATACTGTATATTTATTCTTGCACCATTTCAAATTCAAGCAAGAAACAACAGATGGCTGCATACTTAAAAATTGTTACTGTGCTGTATTGTTACTGTTCGTGTAAAATGAACACACAACAACAACAACAATACACACATTGCACATTTCTTTGCAACGCGTCGTTCATAGTTTCATTTGAAAAATCTGCTTGATGCTGTCACAGAAATTGACATTGAAGTTGCAATCGTTATTTACTTTCAAATAAGAAATATCCACACACAAGCTCTCTGACCCGCGGAGACATGATAAGTTTGTGTCCCTTGCTCGCCAGATAGTTGGATGCTCCACAGTGCTGTCCGAATGTGTAGTGAGTATACAGTATGTTACCCTGAAAAGTAGTGAGCATCAAGGGCCACAAGAACAACAAATTTATCCCACGATGCATTATACGGATCCAGGAAAAATAAAATAAAATCCATGCATCCCGCTATCCCTAACTTTTTGTGAGTACGTGTATGATCCCGATGGCTGTTTTTGTAAACAATCAGATAATATTGAAAAAAAAAAGAAAATGCAAAGATGAACGCAATGCTGTGCATTGTGAGTCGGTAGGGGGACTTTTCAAGTCACTGAGCCTTAACACGGGCGATTACAGGTCACATCCTCTGTAGCACAAAAAGCCTTCTGGACTCTCAAGTGGAGCAAAAGTGAAGGAGAAAAGAGCTTATTTTTGGGGCCCGAGCACCAGGTGGTGGTGCGTAGGCCCTCTCAGAATTGCTCCTTAATTGTTATTGAATGAATGACTGACTGACTGAATGGGTGGGTGGGTGGCCTTTTTGGTTGAGACCCAAAAAAAACACACTCAATAAACTCACATTTTTGCAAATCCTGGTGAAAATGCATGTATCAAAGAGGTCCCCAACACTGAACTCATTCAGTAGCGCCCCCTGGAAAGATGGGGAAAAATTAGCCCCAGATACCAATTTCACACATTTGAAATTGGGTGGAAGAGTCATTTTTGAGGGGCTTCGAAACATGCTTGAAACCTCACCGGTTTTTGCAAATCCTGGAAAAATCCATGTACTTTTCAAAGGGGTCCCCAATACAATCCCACAAACTCACTCACTGGTGCCCCCTGGTAAGTCTCAAGAACCGATGGCCGAAATTTAACAGGAAGTCGGCCATTTTGATTGGAAGCTACCATTTTGGGCAAATTCAAAGTTTGCTGATCAATTGTAAAATTATCAGAACGTTAGAAAAAAAAAACAGCCCCTGGTGCCAAGTTGACCAGTCACCACACAACTGGACTCAAGGTCTCAAGGACTAAAGCTCAAATTAAAAAGAAAGTCGAAGTGAGTATGTGTGGTAAATTCCAGGGCTTATACATAAATATACAAACTCCCCTCACAACAGTTTTAGCAATCGACACAAAATTGTGTGGATACTTCGACCATGCTGGTATGCTCCCAAAGTCTCCAGTACCCATGGCCAGAATTTAAAAGATAAATTCTAGCTTTTATACTATGTAGTCAGCCCAAATTGAGCCCCAATTGGAAGCTGGTATCTGAGCAGAGGGACAATGCTAAATGGTGAAACTTTTTTTTTTCTTTTTTGCCTGTGCCGTGGGCGGAGCATGGCTTCAAGGTTGGAGAAAAGGGGCGCAGGGGCCCGTTCATCGCTGCTTGCGGCTTTAATGATGTTTTTACGCTGTTCTTTTTCCTTGTTGTTAGTTTGTTTTCACAACGTCCGCTTCACTGCAGTTATTGTACGACCAGGAAATGTTTACATTGTGTGCACTTGTGCTCGGGGGAGGGGGCACATTATGTTTGTCATCAATGATCAAAGCAAATGTTTGTTTTTGAAATAACCCCCCCTAAAAAAAAAATAAATGCAGAAAAAAAACATGTATATGAAATTTAGCACTTGTAAACTTCAATATGTGTTTGATGCTTTGGAGAAGAAAAAAAAAGTGTTTCCATGTTTAAATAGAAAATGTTCATTGTGTGCTGGGCGAAAAAGGGAGAAAGGACTCGAAAGAACTCCTCGGGCACTTCACGGGAACCCGCGTTTTGTAAATGATGAAACTACCAGTAATTTATGTTTGTCTTTATACATAACTAATAAAGTACAGATGGATTTTGGATGGCTTCTATGTAAGATTCTTCTCTTATAACTTGTTTTTAACTTTTCTCTATTGCTCAATCCCAGCCTCCTCTACTGCAGCCAAACGCAGAAACGCAAAGGCTTAATTCTGAAGGGTTTTTGTAAATTAAAAAGATTGTTTTAAGCCTTTTTTAACTTCAAATCTTTCCATAACTTTTATTTTTCAGGATTTTATTTCAGAACAAAGTCATATGTTTCACACCAAAAAGTTTTATTCCTTTTTTAGTTTTCATATGGAATAAAAAAAATCTGATGGGAAGTCCAAAGCTTATGGAAGATAATGATAAATTTGAAAAAAGGAAAAAGCTTTTGGGGAGGGGAAAAAAAAGCCTTCTTTTGTTAAATATTTTGTAAATGTGCTTCAATAATTTTTTTTTTCTAAGAGCAGTGTAAACACAACTTCCTACTCATACTCCAGCAGGATTGGCAAGAAAATATGCAACCCTTTTAAACCCAAATGAAACTGCATTCCAGTTAGAAATTTGGTTTCATTCTCATTGGACTCGAAGGCTCTACTGCAGGGGTGTCAAACTCATTTTTGTCGCGGGCCACATTGTAGTTACGGTTTCCCCTCAGAGGGCCGTTATGACGGTGAATTTTGTGAAACCATATAGAAGTTTAACCACCTCCACATATTACATACAGAACGAACAACAATTAGATGCTCTACTGTATGGAAACGTGAGTAGTGATTAGCTTTGCTGTTCCATGGAGAATATAATGATCCACATTTGCCGCCACTTTCTGACATATTTTATGCCTTTTCTGCAATTTCTATTTGAAGCAATGCCCTCTTTTTGAATAATCAGGCGATAGAAAGTTAACTTTTTAAAAAAAATCTGATTAATCAATTAAAAGAAAAATCACATGATTCATTGATTATTGAAGAACAATCCATAGTTGGAGCTCTAAAATTGAACATTTTACAAAGAATCCCCGTGATTGGTATCTGCCGATCAAGCTCATCTCGGTAGCTTCAAACCCTGATCGGAACATCCCTACTTATTATCTTTTTTTTAGACGAAAAGAAAAGGAACCTGAAGGTCACTAACAAAAAAAAAATCCGAACAAACGGGGATGAATGGACTTTGATGTGTGAGTTCATACTAAAAAAAGTACTCCTTTTTTTTTCTCGTGCGCCTCACCAAGTATTTCAAAGTGAACACTTATTGACTTGATAACACTGACACGCTCCTTTTTCATATCACACATCAAACATTTTCAAACTCCAATGGGAGCACAATCTCTGCTTCTCGTCTTTTTCAAGATGTTCTTTGACTCCGCCCACTTGCTGTGTCTTGATCATCACATGCAATTTGCTCTGACTATTTTATGTTTTAATTGTATGGAGGTGAACAAAGACGAATGCAAAAGAAATTATCTCATCAGCCACCCTTCGGGGATTTTCAAACTCCATCCCACCGTGAAACCTCTGACTTTTACCCTTGTGCGTGTGTGAGAAATGCACCTGCATACAGTCAATATCATGAATGTTTTAAGCCATGCCTCTCTGGTGCCACCTAAAGGCTCAAAGTGTCATTAATCGACTCGACTGTGCTATGACTAAAGAGTCGTATGCTTTTGGGGGGATTGTTTATTCATTTTGGGGGATAATGATACCGCAACAGCAGGGGAGCAGTGATAAGGAGGAAAAGTGCGGAGCCTTTACAAAATGTTCATAATTGAGTCATTTTCGTCAAAATTTTGTTTTTGGTTTGATTTTTATCATGAGTCCCTTCCATCCATTATCTGTCCTGTTTTCCCTCAAAAGGGTCATGGGTGTGCTGGAGCACTGACAGACTACATACACAAATATACATATGTAAAAAAACTTAACATCAATTTGGGTGGGGGAGGGGGGGCACATGTGACCAATGCTTTATTTTGCCTAAATATAAAACAGTGTAATTGGACATCCAATACAGTAGATGGCAGTAAGTGTGTGTGTGTGTGTGTGTGTGTGTGTGCTACATACACAAATATACATATGTAAAAAAACTTAACATCAATTTGGGTGGGGGAGGGGGGGCACATGTGACCAATGCTTTATTTTGCCTAAATATAAAACAGTGTAATTGGACATCCAATACAGTAGATGGCAGTAAGTGTGTGTGTGTGTGTGTGTGTGTGTGTGTGTGTGTGTGTGTGTGTGTGTGTGTGTGTGTGTGTGTGCGTGTGTGCGCCCGTGCGTGCGTGCATGTGTGGATACAGGGGTATGTAGTGCACTACATTTACCGTTTTAATCGGTAAATGGAGTGGTAATAATTGGATTTTTCATGTCTTGGACATGCTTGTGGAGGCTCTCAGTCGTACAGGAAAGTTCCATCGTAGAAAGGGTTCTGTCAGTCGTCATCTGTACCTGTGGGTAAAAAACAAAAAACAAAAAACAAACAAAAACAAAAAACAAAAAAGGACGTTTCGCTTCTCTCACAGAAGCTTCGTCAGCGGTAGACAACCCTGAAGTCTCCGTGAAGACT